GCTCCACAAAAAGCCTTGGCACGGCCAAGATGCCGGCGGGGTGCCCAGGGGTCCCGGCTGCCCCATCCCAGGCAGCGGAGCTGCGTCTCAGCTGCCTTCGTGATGCTCCAAAAAAATCACCATCAGTCCCCACCACCATGGCCATGATCCAACATATCCTTCCCACCACATCCCCTTGAACCCCCCCCAGCACGGGGCACCCATGGGTGCAACAAGGAGGGTTTTGGGGCTGCTGAAAGGGGAAGATGGAGGGGAGACAGAGCTGGGGGGGGCACAGTTTTTGAATGCAGGGGGCTCCCCCAGGCCCCGGGGGTTCACAGAGAGTGTGTTTGCATGTGTGGGATGGAGCAGGAACCCTTTGAAGACAGATAAGCCAAGAGGGAGCGTTTGAAACGGGCCAAACCAGTTTGGGGGCCATCGCTTCCACCGGCACTGCACCCCGGGCTCCACGGCACACCCAGCATTTGCTGGGGGCTGCCAAGAGGTGACCCCCGACCAAGCCCAGTGTAGGGCAGGAGGCTGCCCAGGACCCTCCACCCGGCCACTGCTGTCACGCTTGGCCCGTTCTCAACCCGGCGGTGTCGAGGAGGCTCCCGCGCTCCCCCTCGCCCTCCACCAACCCCGCACTCAGCCCTGTGGCCAGGGCAGCCCTATAGCAAGGCTGCTCCGGGTCGGTGTCCGCCTCCGCCGCCCCCAACAAGCCCCAACACCTTGGCCAGCATCCCCCTGGGGCAGGGCGAGCCACCTGGCCAAAGCCTCGCCCCAGCGCCCCAAACAAGCCCCAACACCTTGGCCAGCATCCCCCTGGGGCAGGGCGAGCCACCTGGCCAAAGCCTCGCCCCAGCACCGGGGTTGATCCTCTAAAAGTGGGGACCTGCCTGCACCCCACTGCCACTTGGGGCTCCAACGCCTGGCCTGGGAGAGGCTCCCCATGGTCCCCACATGGTCCCCATGACCACAGCTCAGCCACTGATGAAGAAACAAAACTCACTGGCGTCTTGCTGCCAGCGCTGCCCCGAGCAGACACCATTGCCGGCTCCAAATTGCTCCCCGGGCTTTTGCAAGCAAAAATAGGGCTGGACCAGTGTCCCCAGCAGGGATGGCGCTGGTGGCACCAGTCCCTTCCAGCATCAGTGGCAGCTCTGGATTTGGCTGAGCCCGGTGCCCACGGCTTTGTGAGCTTGCCCAGCTGGGAAGCTGCTGGAAAAGTTGTGCCTAAGGAAAGGTGGCTTTAGGGATCCCGCTGCTGGCCCCAGGGGACCGCAGGGCCACCCACCCTGCCCAGGACTTCTCAGCCACAGGCCAACTCCTGGCACAACGGGCAGAGCCCTCGCCCACAACAAAGCTCTTCCAAAGTACTGGAAAAAACAGGCAGTGCGGAGAGAAAAACCTGCTACCTGCCCAAGACTGTCCCCTCCTGGCAAATCCTGGGGCCAGAAACACCAAATTTGGGGTAAAAAACCCCTAGAGCCCCAGATTGTGGCTGTTTTCTGATGGTAAGCACGTTGCTGAGCCCACCACCTTCATCCTCACCCAAAAACTCAGCGGATGCTCAAACAGAGCCCAGGGGATGCAGACAGGGAACAACACGGGCTGTTTCAGCTCTCCCAGAGGTGCTCACGGTTGTTGAAAGCTCATGGTGGAGGGCAGCAAGAACACGGTGGTTACAGCCCAGGGGATCTGCAGGGACAGGGTGACCCAGCTGAGGAGCAGAAGGAGCTCGCGGCAGCAGTGCCCGTGGCAGGGCGGGTTTGCTGGAGCTCACGAGGCGCCGCGTGCAGCCAGGCACGTCCACGTACATAGGAGAAAAGGCGAGCAAAGAGCTCGGGCGGACACGACTGTTCTGCGAACAAGCGTGCAAGGGCGCGCCGGAGCAAGGGGAGCGGCTCGTGGCTTTCCCCACAGCTCACCAGCCCTGAGGGGGCATCGGGGTGAGCCCCCCACGCAGCATGTGGGGTGCAGGCAGCTGCCTGGGTGGAGCCCGGGTGTGGGGG